GAATTTTTGATATCAACAATTCAATTTTCACTAGTTAAAATGCTAATTCTTGATATCAGGAATTGGGTTTGGCTATTTTTATTTTAGGAATTACATTTCCACAAGTAAAAACTATAATTTGTTATATCTGTAATTGTATTTTCACTAGTTAACTGTCACCATAGGCTGCCATTCAAATTCAGTTGTTGATATCAAGAATTGATTTCTTACTAGTTGAAATTCCAATTTCACATATCAGAAATACAACTCCTACTAGTAAAACCCTTTATATTTTATATCAGTAATTGCATGGTTACTAGTGCAAATGTCTATACTTGATATCAGCAATTTAATTGCTACTAGTAAAAATGTTAATTTTTAATATCAATAATTTGATTGTCACTAGTAACAATGTTAATTTCTGATATCATGAATGTGATTGTTATTAGTAAGAGACATTTTAGATATATGATATATATTGATAGCAGAAATACATTTTCAGATATTAGACATAACAAATGTAACATGTTGAAATACATTTACAGATATCAAGAATGAACATTTCAACTAGTGACAACTGAATTCTTGATGTCAGGAATTCACATTTTTACTAGTAACAAAGTAATTATTGATATCAACAAAGGCAGTTGATGTCTGAAATTGCCCTTGTAACCAGTTAAAATATAATTACTGATATCTTAAATAATATTTTAACTAGTTCTTTATCAAGAATTTGTATTTCTGTGAGTGATGATTTCATTGTTGATATCAAGAATTTACATTTAAAGTTAACATTTTAGGTTTTCGATCTAATATTTATAGTTTATTTTATTTCAGCCTTATTTAATTTAACAAAAATTATTTTATTCGTTTTAGTTAACAATAATAACACTGGTCCCTACACAGAGCAACATCACTCACTTATAGTGTGGGCAGAGTGTTAGGAGAAAAAAGTTATGCCACATGTTTAATGACACAAACTTCCCTAATCTCCTACCTTCTTCTGCTGGAATGCGTCGCATTTTAGGTCTGGGTCCCCAGCGGAACACATTGATATTGGGGTCCACCAGCAGTTTGCAGTATCCAGCCAGGAGGCAGGCCAGATCTTTAGCTGCTACGGATTCCATCAACAAGGCTATAGGCTGGAAGTTGCAGGATAAAAAGATGGTCAGATAGAGAGAGAGAGAGAGGAAAAACATATTTCTGTGCCTGGGTGTTTATCCACACCTTGATGTCCCGAAGGTACAGTTTCAGCATTTTAGCTGTGTTTATTTTAATCTGTTGGTAGATGTGTACACACCTGGATGTCCTGCAGGTAAATCTTGAGCATGCTGACTCTGTCGGACTCTGAGAGCACCTCTACTCGGGTGATGTAGTGGAAGTCTATGATGGTGGAGATCATGTTGAGCTGGTGGTTTAGTATTTGGCTGATCCCATATCTCGCTCCCACCAGCAAACTCACCAACGACTCCTTGTCCTGCAACTGTAACACACACATTTCCTCCAATCTGACTCAGTCTTACCAAGGAAATACATCAACATATAAAGGATATAAATAATATTAAGTGAGGATCATTATAATGGTCCAGTGTGAATCTTATGAGTCAGTTCTTTATAATGAATCAGTCTCAGGCTTCACGTCATTTCAAGGTTTATTTTTATGTCATTGCAAGAGATGCTGCTATGCTCCCTAGAACAGCCATCTTATATAACATGCTTAAAAAATTCATATCCTTAAAAATGGGAGAATGCTTGACAAGATTTTATCCAGCATAACATTATCTACAAAAAAACAAATGGTTGCCGCCAGACAAGAGAGGAAAATAAACGGAACATATCGGTGCTCTGCAGATTTTGTTATTTGTGATGAATGTGCCAGATGGACACTACTCTCTCACCAGCATGGTGGCGTTGTAGCTTCTCCCGCTGTATGAAATCAGCTCCGCCATCTGGGTCAGATAAGCCAAACGAGCCTGAGACACAGAAATCACCTGAAAGAGTGAGAGAGGTAAATGGAAAAGACAAACAAATATATTTTCATTATGACTGAAGTAAGAAAAACAAGGACAGGAAAAAGAAAAGTGGTCTTTCAACTGCTGCAGTACATAGTATGTATAATGTGCACAGTATGCAAATTTATGGTTGGCATAGAAAACCCAGTTGTCCACTACATTTGTTAAAATGTGCAGGATATAACCAGAGCACACTGCATAGAATACAGCATCCCACAATTCAATGCACTCACTTACAGTGTGACAAAATGAACCAGGAGTAATAGAGTTGGGTTCCTGAAGAAAAAAGTGCAATCATTTTCTCCATAGGAAAACTGATTTTCAACATTAACTTATAAGCCTTTATAGACAGACTTCTTGTGAGCTCCAAGGTTGTCATGATGTGCAAATCATGCCAAAAAATGTCGGCATGATGCACCGCAACTGAAGCTCTGAACTCGAGTTAGTCTCTATGCATATTTTGTTTAAAGGGGTCATATGATGCGATTTCAATTTTTCCTTTCATTTCATTACACCAAATACACAAAATAATGTTCTTTTTTAGCAACATCATATGACCCCTTTAATATATATTGTTTCCATTGTTTAGTATATATTGTTTCTAATCAATGAATCATTTTATATATCACCATTGTTTTTAATTTGTCATTTGCAATGGGATTCGTGGGATTGTAGCTCTTTAATCGGTTAAGTACAAAAAGTGTCTTTTTGTCTGTTTTTCAAGTACTTTTTTGTTTCAAATCAAAGTGTAATGCTGTGATTCAGCTTGTAGCCAGCTGATTTGGTTTATGGCTTATATAACTTTCAACAAATACTTTTTTTTAAAATCCCTATGAGAAAACTAGATGGAAAAAAATACTTCCAGTAATCAACGTCGCTGAAAAAATGATTAGGCACTAATGCATTCTATATCAGCCATTATTTGTAACATGGCTGAATTAAATATGCAATGTAGTCAGGTCATGTGACAACAATGTAGCATACTATTGATGGAGTTGCCGCAAGCCTCCTTCGTCGAATCCGCCGGCCGCACCGTTCTTAAGCCCGCCGGCTCTGCTCACTCTAGCCCTCTGGACGTTCCTCACTCTAGCCCTCGCTTTTCAGACTGATGAGCTTTGTAAAAATCGACGCGTTTCAGAAAGGCGGGGCATAGAGAAGAAACAATAATGTACAGTATGTGGAAAATAATGTGTTTTTTGAACCTTAAACTGCATAAACACATTTCATTACACCAAATACACAAAATAATGTTCTTTTTAGCAACATCATATGACCCCTTTAATATATATTGTTTCCATTGTTTAGTATATATTGTTTCTAATCAATGAATCATTTTATATATCACCATTGTTTTTAATTTGTCATTTGCAATGGGATTCGTGGGATTGTAGCTCTTTAATCGGTTAAGTACAAAAAGTGTCTTTTTGTCTGTTTTTCAAGTACTTTTTTGTTTCAAATCAAAGTGTAATGCTGTGATTCAGCTTGTAGCCAGCTGATTTGGTTTATGGCTTATATAACTTTCAACAAATACTTTTTTTTAAAATCCCTATGAACACACACACACACACACACATTAAATGACTGTTTTCTAATGTAGCATGAGTATTTTTGAGTGTATGTGTGCGTTCTTACACAATGCTCTTAACAGATGCTCTCATCGTCTGGCCACAGCTCGCCAGTGTCTCGTGCATGTGCAAAGCGGCTAGTCTCAGTGCTGTGTTACATTTCATCTCTACAGCGTAGCGTTCCTGTAACACATCTCCCACACTCTACACACACATACACACCAGGGTTACGATAGTTAACTAAAACTAAAACCATATAAAACATTTTCCTTACTTGAAACGAAATAAACATTAACTGAAATTAAATAAAATCTTTTAAAAAATAAATGAATAAATTAAATATTTAAAAATATTTTATTTCAGCTAGTTGCCAAGGCAACATTTTTTGACATTACTTGATGTACTAAAATAACTAAAACTGAATTGATTTATAAATTGTGAAAAATAGTTGCAAAAATGACAAAAACACCCCAAATTACTACAATAACTAAAATTAACATGAAAATGGAAAATATAAAAATAAAAACAAATTCATAATATTGATAAACTGTAATAATACCTTACTTAATGATACTTAATAACACTGATACACACAGCAGTCTTAAAGCTTTGCTTTATTTCTACACCACTTTGTTTTTAGCGGTACATAATCACATTGTGTTACCTGCTGAAAGAGGTACTCAAAGGCTACAGGATCATCCTGCAGGAGGTCCATTGGGTTTCTGGGAATGAAACAGACTCTGAACAGACACCTGTAGTCATGAGAATCCTTCTTCTGTGCCACCTGAAAGAGCAGCGACATGATAGAGCACTTTATTACAAACTCCAGTCGAGGCTGTAGTGTGTATAAGTAGATATATTTTAGAATTTATAGTTATATATGGTTATATAGGTGTAAGAAAGAAGAATTGTATCTTTCTGTATGCGTTGGCACGTGCCTAGCAAGTTGCAAGCTACTCACAACTGAACTACCGTATTTTCCGGGAAATAAGTCACACCTGACTGTCAAAATTGCATCGTTGAGAGAAAAATACCACAGATAAGTTGCATCATATAAATAACATTTTGTTATTACATTCAGAAATATTGTAAAATACTGGTATATTAAATGTTTCCAAACATTCTACACACTATACACATGTATTTTATTTCTCCTCACACTTTGGAATACAAGTTGCAGCAGGTTTCAGATGATGTAAAAACTTGACTTATATTCCAGAAAAATACAGTAGTCATGACCCTTTAAGTTACTGACATTAGATAATTATGTTCAAGCTATTTACAACAGTCATATATTTTGTTTATACAATTATTAGAGCATATTATTTATATTCAAAATCACAGCACAATGAGAACAATGCATACATTTACACAACATACAACTAATAAAAAACACCTCATTTATATTAGGTGAAATTTCTAACATATAAAACTAAGTGATTAATAGTAGCAATTAAAAAATTGATTTCAATAAGTTAATACAACCGAAGGATGATGGAAAGAATCAGTGAATTGCTTTTTCAACTGGCTGACTGAAATGAACTTTCCACATTAACCAATACACAAATATGAATCAGACTTCCCAATGCTACCCAAGAGAGAGAGAGAGAGA